TTTTGAATGTTGAAAGCAGTCATTCAATACAACCACTCTTCTCTTTAATTGCAATACCTTTATTCAGTGGTACTAAGACTTGGAGAAAACGAAGATGAAATTTGGAATTTGCATGAGAAATAATCTAGAGTCAATAGAGCGTTGGGGGCTGTTTTAACGATAGTTAATAGCTGAGAAATTCGCACTTAAGCCGAAGGAGATTGACACCGAATCGCCCTAAAGAAATAGCCTGCTTGATGAAAAAGGTGATTCCAGCGAGGAGTTTATTACTCACCTCAAGATTTTTGAACTCCAACCCAATATACTCGCGTAGGAGTGAGAGATGAACCAGACAGAAGGGAATATCCTGTGGGAGTGGAGATCTGTTAAATTGAAGAATAAAATTCAGCGATCTTAGGAAATGCCCGATTTAGTCAGAAGCAATCAGACATAGCATAGCACACCGAATCCCTCAATTGTAATAGACAAGGCTCCATTTAAAATTCTAGCTGTTAGAAAATTTTATTGAATGAGTAAGTCATTATCAAGAAGAGCAACGTGATTGCTTAGGACAGAATTTCATTATCAACTAAAATAAGCACTGACTGGAATTAAACTGAGATAAAACCCGTATTCAACAATGCATTTAACAAATGGAAAAAGCCCATGCATAGTTGCCCCACCAAAAAGAACACTTACTTTACTGTGTAAACGTTTTCGCGTAGAATACAGAGATTTGGTTCATGGGTGGCTAGACCCAAGAATATCTACAATTAATAATGTTCAGTCGGATAATAAGGGTCAAATTGTGCACAAATAGACAAATCCTCAATAAACTCATTCCTCAAGTGTTTGATCACCCAACTACGCTCAAATTTACAGTAAAGTGAGCAATTAAGAATAAACTAATCTGTTTAATAGATGTGCGCAACATTCGACCTAAGGAAAACCAAAGGGAAATTTAAATAATAAGGATTAAATGGTATATCTTTGATGCACATATGCAAGAGCGTTAGTCCTAATTTCCACAAATCCAAGTATTTTGGCGTTTTCTTCTATCTCTGCAAAGGGAAAAACATTCAATTAACCTTCAGAAAATTATCAATTAGAGATGCTATGATTGAAGTCATTTCTTAAACAAAGGGTGTCCAATTGCCTTAATTGGATGAATATCGTTGGAATATCAGCTCGACTACACTTTTTGGCGGCATTTTTGTAAGTTAATTCGACAAGTGCTAGTGGGATGGAATTACTAAGGATGAAGGCACGATTTACTGCAATCAGCAGTACGCACAGTGCAACGGATTGGTTGAATGGAAACTTTGCCTTCTCCAAAGTGTTGCATCGAACGCACTAGTGACCATTGATTGTGTGAACCTAACAAAAAACTATCAACTTCGGGTTGACGCGAGTGTCATGCGGAAGAGAAACGAAATTAGTCAGGAGGAAATTCTGCTGTTCTCATGTGCTACAGCCAATTAAGAGCGAATTAAAAACACTCGACATTAAGCTGCCATACAGTCAATTGTAACAGCACCGATAGTATTGAAGCCACTTTTGGAGTCGACGATTTTAGTTGCAGTTTTTGTAGGTTAATAATGAACAGTAAAGAAATAAAAATAAAAAAGGGAAGATGCCTACCAAATCTGCGTCCATACCATACAAGCAATGGCGTTCATTGGGTTGGTATCCGGATAGAGTTCGTTGATATAGCATGTACTCCCTTATTTTTTGTTCTCCTTCGCCAGGAACCTAAAAGACGACATAGTTCTTTCGACATGCAAATGAAATGGCGTTCGGAGCCGCTACACAATCAACTTGAAGGACGATAAACGGATAAAATTAAAGAATAAACTGGGAACAAATTTAGCTGATAAATACAATACGGAATAACTTTATATGGAGTGTTTTAAAACTGAAACCCTGGGGTTAATTGAAACTCCATTTCGTATAGCGTATTCGGTAGATGGTAAAAGTAGCCATTTTGAGTCATTACCTCCTATAATCATAAGGTCAGAAGTGATGAAGTCCAAGATCTTAAGCGCTGATAGGAAAATTAGCCATTAATTACCAAGTGTTAACGATCGTGCAACAAGTAAAATGGAGTTTCTTTGTGTAGCTATTAGGTGCACATCTGGGGCGTAAGAATATTACAGGGACAATCGGGTAAACTGAGTTCCACCAACACCTGATGAACAAAACATTCTCCTTCGAAAAATTTCAATAGCGAAATTCAAAATCACTTAAAAATGCCGAAAAATGATGCAAAAATTGGATTCAGCATCAAACAGGCAGAAACTACGACGGGAACTTACGTCGTGACCAGAGTAAATAACGTCGATCCGGCGCCAAAGTGGATCCGACGATATTTGATTGGCGATAAACCTTTTGAAGAACTCATGCAAACTTTCCATAAATTCGGTTCCTATTAGAAAGAAAACAACCTTTATTCTGTTAGCATTGTTAAAAAATGATAATATCAAGTTTGCCGTACACGCCCTAGCTTACTTTCTGCGCATCTGCAAGAACTATGGTCAAGGTGCCCAGGAGAATAGAGAACTACATTTGATTGGAGTGAATATATCCAAACAAATGGTGCTACACATTTGTTAACAATAAACCACATCACGAGATTTGTAAAAAAGCGAACACCAGACTTTTTGACTGCAAAATTGTTCTTGAGCAGGTTTAAAGGAAATTGGAGAAGCAAACAAGTAGCTTAAGTGGTCAGCGATCCAGAAAACTCATTTTAAGGCATGCGTGAAGGCCCAACAACCTTAAACATTGCCAGTTTCGATATTTTAATTCATGTGGAACAAATGTAGAGGACGAGACCAAAAATTATGGTAAATTTGCGAAACTTAACAAAAACTTTGTGAAGTTAGCCACAGCAGAATAGAAATCGACGGTATTTGACAAGAAAATAAAACGTACCAGGAGATATGACGTTAGGATCAAAAAGACTCTTTTCATCAAACTCAGGTTCCTTCTCCCTGCGTTTCTTTAACTCAGTGGCCAATTTTTCGGCCCCCCTAAATAGCCAAAAAAGCCGAAAAAAGCCACCAGATCACCCAATCAAGTAAAGAATTTGCATAATTTTCGGTCTTAAGTGCTAATTTTATTCCAATCACAAGGGCCAAGGGGCAAACGAACTGAAAGTTTGATAATAAGTAGGGCTCTATAGTACGCATTCATTTCCACTGGCATTAACCTAATCAGCGATTGAAAGCAATCCCAAATTTCAAGTAGAAATGAAGCTAGGGAAAATAAAAAAATTAGAACTCCTACAAAATCAGCTAATTAATGTCTTGGAGCAATTTTGCCAGGTTATTTGGGAAAAAGGTTACCTACACAAAGCGACGAGCTCGTTGTTGAGTCATCTTTGCACGTGGTGCTACACCGTCAACGGCGAGAAAAACCGTTTTCTGCGGTCTAATTAGACAAATTATGTGGTTCAAATAATTCGCGATAGTTTGGAACACAAGATCTTCATTGTAAACATTTGGGTGTGCATCATCGCAGTGTGATGAAGAATGGATAATACCATTCAAATCGAGGTATAAATGGTCGATCATAACTACCTGAGTGATGAAAAGGCGAGACAAAGAATGGTGATGCCCAAATTACAAAAGAAGAATGTGAAATAAGTTTCGGCAAGAAGCTCACAATCACTTAGCTATGGAGAAGAACAACCAGCAAATAAAACTGCATAAACCAAACGGTTTTTATACATGAAAAATTCGAATCTAATTTTGAGAGCATAAGGACAAGGAAGGAACATCTAACATCGCAATAGGAAACGATAAATTAGCAAAGTCTTTCTACACGGAAAACCTCCTTATACGACAAAAAAAAAACAAAATACAAACGTAGCTAAAAATAAGGAGAGTAAAATACACATGCAAAAAAACATCTGTGCCGATGTCCCAGGAAATAACTCTTGCAGAAGAAACGCAATAAGTTATACTACCTCATTCGGCCGCAATATTTGATTAATGCATGGGTAACGCTGACTAATCCACCGATAAAACTTAGGCACACCCATTATCAACCTGAGTCGAAGCTCTCAGATTTGCCACCAACCACTGATAGACTTAAACAAAATATTCTAGGACCTAAGTTAATGTTTCTTTAGTTGCCAGTAAAATGACATCGTCTAGGTAGGTAATATTTTTTACCCTAAGTTGCGATTTAATGCTTTACACACATGCAGGTAATAAGCTATTTCTGAACTTCAATGGAGAGCCTACAAAATATTTGCCTTTTAAATAAGGTATGCACGCTATAATTGTGAAGTGGCGTTTTATTGAAGGAATTTTTGGCCTATATAGTAGAATTTGAAAATTCATTGATGATTTTTAGCAAAATATTTAAAACATTGAATCTTATAAGTTCAAAAGTAGCCGAAATAGCTAATCTTTTGCCTTTAAATTAGTTATTTTAAATATTTGCAGATCATTCTCATTGGCAATTACAGTGTCATCTACTTTCCTGTACCCTATCCGCTCATGTAGTGCGGATGGTGCAGGTAAAATTAGGAACAATGTAATGCAGTGTCCCGGAACTCCCTGAAGACGAAAGAAAACAAAATACTCGGGCAGAACATATATTCAGCGCAGAGAAGGTGTCTGGGCTACTCGCATGGCCCAAAAGGCCAGCCCACCCAGCGAGATACAAGGGAACTAATCCAAAGTACAAAAGTGGCGCCTTGCTAATGCCGAAGGATAAATCACTATCGTATTACGGTAAGCTTTGGAACAGAGAATTGCTTCTTTTAACCAATTTGATGGCTCACAAAGGCACAGGAGGCCAAGAGAACCATGAAAAAGGGAGCTTTGTGGGCAAGATGGTTGAATTCAGACAGTTGGTGGCATCTTGAGATGGGATACAAGACAGTAATGCCTTTCACAGGCCCATAGTGAATGACCTTCCTACTGCTGTTCCCTCTCAGCCCCGAAAAATTACTTGCAGTAATTAATAATCAGCAATTTTTGCTGCTTCGTCCCCTTATCCCCCTTTTGAACTGTTACTTTTTTTAAACCATTGCCTCCTCCATTGCTGAACTTTCCTCACAGAATTACCCCTTGCTTCCGTTTTGAATTACCAAACTGCAAGCTTTTTGCAAAAATTGATGCTACGACTGCTGCTTCGTTGGAATGATTGCTCACCCATTCGCTAGTTTCCAGATTCCTTGTAATTTATGTACGGTTAAAATCAAGACAAGTATGACAAAGCAAATGAACAACATTCTCTACTTCAACTGTTTTGCTACCCTTTCACGTGCTCTGCCCTCTTAATGCCTTTTAAGGTAGAAACTACGAAACTGCTGCTGAATTGCATAGTCTTACAAGCAAAAGCAAACAGCGCCCTTATCAAACCACTGTTTTTTCTAACTGAATTGTTTGAAAAAGACAGGTAAATGTTAGACAACCGTCACATTGAAGTTGGTTAACTTGATAAAAACAGCTTCAGGATTGTGAAATAAATTTGCTGATACTTTGTTAGAGTTAATCAAGAAGGGGAAAAAAACTGCTATAGCGCAATGCATTGGTTGGTAGGAGTTACCTAGGCGTTTAAGCATTGCACCTTCCTCGAGTGGGCTGGCCTCTGAGTCATGCTAGTAGCCCCAAGCCATTTTGTATGTTGAATGTATGTATTCTGCCCGGCTGTC